TCGCGCCGCGGCCAGGAGCGCCGTTCGCCGGAGAAGCCCGGCTTTGTGTATCGTTTCTCTGCGGGGACAATGAACAATGAGGAATTACGGGGCGATGGCACGTGGCCAGCGCAAACGCGACTTTCCGATCGTTCATCTGCCAGGCTCTAACAAGTCGTTAGCGAGGCCGCGTGGGACATTTTGCAGAAGCTCCCAGCGAGGCCAAAGCAGGGCGACTTTCGTCCCGCGGACGCCAGCACAGCCCCGGCCCCGAACAGCCTCCTCTGCCCAAAGCAGAGAGGTGCTAGAGCTTCTCGACAAAACGCCTGGAAGATTTTATTTCACACAGACAAAAACCATATTTTACTCCAACCTCAAAAATCACTGAACCATTTTAGCTGAAACTTTCCAAAGACAGTCGGCCCGAGGCTGATATCCTGCAAAGGACATTTCAGCCAGAACAGTTTAAGTTTGGCAAAGCTGTAAGTCACTGAAGGTTTCATAATGGAAATTGTTGAGGCATTATTAACTATAGATGTCCCTCCCCGTGCTGCCTACAATACTAATAAATTCCACTGAGGCTGTGAATTCTTCCCAGCTATTAACATTTTTGCCAACAGTGTGGATTTTGTATTTGACAAAACACAATGAAATCCTTCGGAAAAAAAAAACAGCCACCTGAAGCAAATCTCAGCCCCGCTCTCCTGCCACAGTCAGGCCTCTCCTCTACATTTGAATTCTTTGTCTTATCCATGCCATGGTGGTAGCATACTACACATGCACAGATTTGTCACATAAATGCAAAGTTTTATTGTGCAGTTAGCCTTGATAGAAAGCACTGCCGAAAGTTGTTTAGAAATTAAATATCTAAAACAAGCTATTTTAAAACACAGAGTCCTCACTATTTCATGTCTGAAATGAAGAAATTTCATCTTAGGGAGAGCAAGCTGTCTTTCACACCATATGGCTAATGGTAGTGCATAGCAATTAGCCGGGCTGATTAATGGGGAACAGACTCTAATTTTATGCTTATAATTGAGGCTGCATTTGCACCCCTGGTGCAAATTCAGCACATCCCAACTTCCACTTACAACAGGCAAGAAATCAAGAGAAACAGAATGGTGCGGAGAGAGATTTTTTTTTTTTCTTCCAGACCCCTAAAGAGCATCAGATTTGCAATTTAAAAGAGTGTTAGCAGCACAATAGATGACAGATTTGTGCAATAGGGTCAAGCGGCCTGGTAAACAAACAGCACCCTCTTACAAACGTAAGGCAGAAAAGGAAATAGGTAATTTCTAATACGAGCTGTAAGAAATTTGAATACATTGCCACCACCCCACCAGACACACAACATTTGCTTACCATGGTCAGATTTTTTTTTTTTTTTTGCTACTCCTCTATCTCACATTTATGAAACATGAAGCAGCGACTAGCAGTAAACAAATACAAGAAGAATAAAGCTCCTGATCCAATGAATTTTAAGGATGAAGAAAGTGTAAACTGCTTTAATAAAGGGAAAGGCTGCTCTGGAATGACATAGCACATCTTTCAGCATGCCCAGAACGGAAATAATTTTATCTCGGTCAAAGTATATTGACAAGGCTGTAAATCTTTGGATGCAGATATTTGGTGTTCCGGTTAAAACTCAGCCCTGATTATAAGTTGCAATTTATTTATTACTCTTTATGCTGCTAAAGTATTTGTAAGAAAATTAATGCACCAAAGTATATAATTCTTACTCTTGTGCAGACAGCTGCACAGGAGCCCCTGGACACTGGCGGGGAGGAACACGAAGCTCTTCCGCACGGACTTCTGAGCGAGGGATGGCTGCTGCTGCAGCTGGGGCTCAGGGGCTTTCACAGCCGCGCGGCCAGGTCCTGGCTACACGACCGCTGCTGTCTGCTTTGCGGCGTTGCCGGGGCCCCCAAAAGGCTCAAATTCTGACTAAGGCTGGGTGCTCACACAGAGCTGCAGGCAGATATAATCCCTACCTCAAAACCTTGCAGCTTAAGGCCCAGTACGGCGCATCTTCCCGTCCTAACAGCGAGCAGACTGAGACCCTGCTGCTGCAGGCGCTTTAGCATGTGCTTACTTCTACTCACGTGAACAGTCTCACTGTGCTACTGGTCTATTTAGACGAGCAAAGCAAAGCATGCACTTCAGCCTTATCAGGTCAGGGGCCTCCTTTAATATTTCCATGAATTGTTCCTAGCTAGGTATCTGGTGTGAAAGTGGTGCTAATTGGGCCAATGAATTTTCGGGCAATTACGGGTTGTCAGCATGACTTGGGCTTCCATTTGGAAAGGGCGAAGAGGCCGGGAGCCCTCAGCGAAGCCGCGCTCGGCTCCGAACGGCCACGGGAACTCGCGCCCCTCTCGGAGGTACCTGCCCGCTCTATTAGCGCTCATACTGTAACAGGTTATACCTTGGGTTTCTTGGAAAAAGCCAAACCTGCTGAATGAAACAGCCGAGGTGACTTGAAAGTGAAAATCCCCAAATTCCTGCAAGGAAGGAAATAAATTGTGGGGCTGCACGTGGTTTCCCGAGAGTAGCAAAGCGAGGAGAGCAGCTCCTTCTCCGCCCGGCATCGCAGGGCGCGCTGCCCCGCGCGAGGCTCATCAGCGAGGAGCTGCCGCGAGGGGCAGAACAAGCAGACCCGCAGGAAGGGGGAGGGGAAAAAAAAAATTAAAAAAAAAAAAATCAACCCACAGAAAACATTCCCTGCAAATATTTTGTCTGAGACTCTTCCTCGCCAGGAAACCCTCATCCAAGTTTACTCTCTTAGAAGCGGGGACTGGTTTTTACCCTCAAGTTACTCCTTTTTTAGTAAATATGTTTTGTAAAAGTTACAACGCATGCAATGGCATTTTTACAGCCGTAACACAACTGATTGTAACAATGAGCTTATGCAAGAACGCCTTGCGTTCCACCAGGGAATTATTTTCTGCCATCAAATAACATGTAACAAATGAATTTTTCAGACACGGAAAAACACCCACCAACTTTAATGAGACCGCAAGGTCAAGCCTGCATAGGTGTTGGAGGGGTTTGTGAGAAGATGACGACTTCCCTGCACTAAGAGGGAAGTGCAAGAGGTTTCACCTATTTCTGTCAGCTAGAAAAGAGAAGGAAGCAGCTGCCTCTTGCAGAAGTGCCGCGTTAGGGAGAGAAGATATTTGACTGTACTGCATCTCAGTGACCTACACCGGGCAGGCATGTTCAGGGGAAAAGAGCACTGCGCAGGGCCAAACCTGCATGGGGGAAGTGGGAAGAGAATCAGCCCAAAGACGTCTTTTGCATGGAGGGGTAGCGCCCGCTGCGCGCAGGCCAGGTGGGTGATGCGCGTGAGCAGCTCGAGGGAAGTCAAGCTGCAGGGAAGGGGTGTCTCAGCGGGGAGGAAAAAAGGGCTCCCCATTAGGAGGCCGAAGGCGTGTCCAGCAAAACCAAAAATAACCATGTTATCCCTTTACTGGGGAAGTTATCACAGGAGGCGGGAGCATTTATTGCTAGAAAGACTATAACTGACTTTATTAATTTCGGGGAGGAGACCTCTTCTGGGCTACGGTGTCTAAATGCAAACCAATAGCGTTCCGTTAAGAATAACTCTTTATAAATAACAGAAAACTGGTGTGATGAGACCTCGCTGCTAATTGCACACACAGAACCGTGTTATTTTGGGACTGTTTAATGAAAAAAAGATAAATTTAAGTCCTAAAATAGCTGCAGGTTCAACCTAGATTTTGAGACACAAATTCATCTTCTCATCACTAATTAACTGGAAGCAGGGTATTTCTTACCTGCACATTATTTCATGCGTGAGCAGAACTCGGCACATTTCTGGGTTCTTGTCTTGGCCTTCATATACTATCGCCTAGAAACAAAACACATTTTTAGCCGTGCATCAAGTTGAGTTCAGAAAACAAAATAAAAACGCATCACAGTAAGCGAGTGCTCGGTCACAGTCGCGAGCTAAGTTAGGGGCAGAAGAAACCGCGCGCTCGCAGAACCTGCTTCAAGATCTGCAGCTGGAAAACACCGCAAGCGGAGCACAGCTGAATTCCCACATCTCTCAAGCAGTGTGTAGGATGGGCTTTTTTAGTAGTCAAGACAACCACAATTTTCTTTTCAATTCAGAATAAAATATAAACCTAGTAGCATTAAAAGTAAAAAAAAAAAAAAAACACAACAGCAAGGCTTGGCACGCTTTGGGTTCTGTTCATTATAAAAAAAAAAAAAGATAAAGAAAAGAAAGAGTGAGCTCATGTATTTTTAATTCCAAAAACTGCACAGCCCAGGCTTTTTACTGGGAGCTCCCGAAAGAGCCGGGGCCTGATTCTGCGCTTGCACCCGGCGACCCACGGCCTTCCGGAGAGCAGAGCGACACGAGTAAGTCAGCAGCAGGCCCCGCGAGCGCGACGGGCGCCAAAGCAAGCGGAGCAGCGAGCAGCTCGACTCGAGGACAGCGCGGGGAAACCCGCTAAGCGAAAGCTGCCGAAGGGCATCGCTGCGCTCGCGTTGCGGGCGGGCTCTACGCCTGCAAGGCTCCCCCCCAGCACGGCCCCGGTGCAGACGGGGCCGGGGGG